TACGTGTATATATATATATATATATATGTCACCCCGAAAGCGTCGGTTTTATGCGATACTAATTGTACTTAATATACGTGAAGTTACACCCTGAAATATCGATCGAAATAACCATTAGCTATTAGAAACACTGTGTCTTATTCGTTGTCGAGTCGTAATTCTAGCAGTTGTATCGAGTTGGCAATTAATTAAGTCTACTTTTATTTCACAGTATTTAACGCGTCTCTTTTTGCTGTTGAACAAGCAGATCTAGTCTTGAGTTTGAAAAGTGCTCGAGTAAATACGTAGCTTGTGGCTCGGGTTCAAAAATAAAAATCTTCAGTTTATTTCTGCGTTCATATCGTTTGCCAATACGTTCATTGCGATTCTCGACTGTCCATTAAGAAACCGGATGTGCCTACTAGGTGTACATTCGCCTCTGCAAATCGTAGACACGTGCATCTCATGGCGAATACTCTAATTACGACGTGTATTATTAGTGTAGATACCGAATCGCGTGTTATTAATATGAAGTTATTAACTTTCCTACGAGACACGTGTTTAATGTTGATTAAAATCTTGGCGAAGGTCTCAAGACCGAAACAATTAGACTTCGTATCCCGCAACGATCTTGTTTGAAAGTTTCCAACGCCGTAATATCTGGCCCGAATTTTTCAAGAGGCCGTGAAATCTAAGTTTGTCGGAGGCGACGTTCGTGAATAGTTTATCTTATGAAAGAATTCAGGCCGCGTCTCGGAAGCAGCGACTCAAGAATTGTTTAAATAGACGCCGAAAGTCGAATTCTATCGGTCTATGATATATTTTTATGCAAAGCATATTCGCTGTCAATCCTATCCTCTACGTTTCATCGGTTCCCGAAGGTGTATCGAACATCGATACGTGTTGCGAATCTAACAAACCGTCCAATTAGCGATGTAACATTCCACACGAAAAACTCGCCGATTCGTAATCCTAGCTTAGCCGTTACGTATCGCGTTAATCAAAAATTTCCACACTGCGTAATTCAGTAAGAAACGTTTCGTTCAATTCATAATAATAATAGTAATAATTAGAGTTCGAATACTTGAGTTTTAAATGTTTTGTCGCGCGTGTACACTTAATTAAATCGTAGTTAGCGGCAGGGGCATTTGAACGTTCTCTCTACTGATTTCAGCGACTCGTTTTGACGCCTCGTCGAAAGGTTCGGCTTGGAAATTGCTCGCGACGGAAAGAAAGTAATGTATGTAACAACACAGAGAGCAATTTAAATCGACGGGGCGAGGCGAGGCGAGGCCTGGATTTCATAAGAGTCAATCGATCTCGTTTCGAAAGCACTCGGAAAGCACCCGTCCGTTCTTCAGCGGAGGTCCTCGATAATTTATAGATATGTTTACCGGCTCGGGGAGGAAATTTACTCTCATAAATTTAACAGTTTATTCACTGCTACCACTCGCGAGACGAAAGCGAGGAAGACCGTTCGTTTTTATACGGGATAGTAACTAGTGCCTCTTTTGCATTTCGACAAATTCAAATTCGCTGTAAATATAATAAGAAATTGAAACATTTTGCATAAACGTCCGCTGCGTACATTTAGCAAAGGAACAGACAGACAGACAGACAGACAGACAGACAGACAGACAGACAGACAGACAGACAGACAGACAGACAGA